GTACGAACCCTTTGTACGAACAAAAGTAAGAGAAATTTAGGAGAAGAATACAAACATGTTCTTGCATGAGGCCCATTGTCATGAATCTAACGTAGCAAATTGATAAAAGGAGACATTTCAAACAAAAATGCACACACTGGGCAGGTCGTGTGGCCCTGGTGCATTGACTTTCTCTGGTTCACACTAATTGACTTCTAACATCAATATGTATGTGTCCTTGTTCTGTCTACATCAGTTTAGGTGTCCCACGCTGAAAAACATTTTTAGTCTGAAATCATCCTTACTGCACTGAAACTTGTGAACTTCATGTCTTATGAAAGAACATTAAATTGTTTACATGAAGACGTGTTTGATAGAGAGCGGTAATGTCAGAAGACTGAAACTGCGTTTGTTCACAGGGACGTCCAACTGGTCAGAGGACTACTTCACTCGCACTGCCGGTGTTGGTTTGGTGGTGAACCAGACAGGTTCTGTGGTTGAAGAAGACCAGCTGACTGTGCAGAGCCAAGCAGAACAGCTCTTTGTTAGAGACTGGAACTCTGATTACACAACCTTTCTCTCCACAGATGATGTAAACGTCTGCCCTCACCACCACCGCTGACGGCTTTTTGTTCAGTAAACTGCATTACATGGTGGATGTGCCTCTTACTGGCTCCTGCTACTTGAATTTTATTTTAACTATACAGATTTGATTTGCTGTAAATGTTTGGATGTTAAAGCTGCCTACTTGTTTCTGTATAAAATTGCATTTAAAAATGGTTGAAAAACAAAATATACTCTAATGACTCAACGGTTGAGGCAAGCATCTTTTTGCAAGATAATTTGTGCCTAGAGCAATTTGTAAACATTCCTGTAAATGTTGTGCCAAGTTTGAACAATCTCAGCCTGAAATAACATTTTCTAAAGGGTGTGTACTGACGACATGTTTACACTGCAGAATCTTTTCATCTGTGTCGATGTGTTGACAAATGCTGTCAGTTTTTTCTTTTTATTAAATGGCTAATCCAAAGAGTGAAATACAGTTTAAATGTGCACTTAAGTTTTAAAAAAAAGTTCATAAAATTTGTTTTCCTCATTAGATGTGAAAGGCATCTGATGATCACTTCTGCAGTCTTTCCTCCATCACCAGGGCTCATCTGTAGACCTGTGTTAAAGGGAGCTCCTGAATCTGGATGGAAAACAGTCTGACCAACAGCAACCTTTGATGTTGTCATAAATAAAGTTCACTCATCTTCTGGATCCTTGTTGCTCTTTTTGTTTATGATGCTTGAATTTATAGCAGTTGATGGAACTAGTGGTGGTCTACACAGCAGAGTGTGCTCCGTCATGGTTTAACAGTGCAGAACACTACAGTGGTTTGCAAAAGTATTCATACCCCTTGAACTTTTCCATATTTTGTCACATTACAACCACAAACATA